AAGAAAACATGTTTACACCATCATAGGAAGTGAGATCTACAACATCAAGAAAACATGTTTACACCATCATAGGAAGTGAGATCTACAACATCAAGAAAACATGTTTACACCATCATAGGAAGTGAGATCTACAACATCAAGTAGCTCTCACGAATTCGTTAGTTCTTTTCGCTTAAGAATTCGAGGTTTTTATCTTCATGATCATATGCTCCGATCTTTACTCCAGGGATTAGAGTGAATTTTAAACCTTTTCTTAAATGCATGTAAAATACTCAAGAAGAGGGAGAATGGTGTTTTTTATAGTATATATGAGCTTCGTAAATTCTTTTTTCAATACCAATAATTAAGCTTTTTTCTTAATGTCACAATGATATTACATAACACAAATCATAACAAATTCTAAGTTTCTGAAACCAGAACGATCAATAGTTATCTTTCCACTCTTAAAGGCTGACTCATTTCGACATTCTTTTAACAGTAATGTTCATCAAACTAAATGTTTAACAAACTAAATTATATTTCGTAATTTGTATATGGAAGTGTTTCGCTAACAATTTTATTAAAACCAACAACAACAAATAAAGCACCTACTTAAATAATTATTAACAATTAAATAGAGTTGCGTACGTTGTAAATAAGCGAGTCACAGCCAGGATAAAGTCGCAGGGGAACATAACTTATCAGAACTACTCTGTGACATTGTTTGACGTTGTGTAGGTAGGTAGTGATGCTACATGAAATAGACTGCTGTTGAGAAGGTTGTGTAGCAGATCTTTCGTACACAAAATATTCATACATTCATATCATTAATATGTATTCAAATCGGGAAGTTAAAATTTCCAAGATCGGGTTATCACTTGTGCTTAATGGAATTCAAAATTAAAGGAATATGAATCAATTTGGGGTACTAGGACCATCCAGAAAGAGGCCTGCAACAAGCCTTACTCCAGCCATGATGAGGAAAGAAGGTGTTTCGTAACAGGTGAGAATCCATGAACACAAATGTCAGTGGCAAACGTCATCCACGTAACCCAGGTAACAATTCGCAACATGCTAAAAAAGGATGTCTGTAAAAGTGACACAAGTCACATGTACACAAGTGGCTTCCATAAAGTACTTGATCAACCGTTGCATATCTTAATTAGCTTGATAATTAAACGGGTATTTATGTTATTCCGTGTTAAAACAAACCAGTCATGTTGTCTAATTCAGCGTCTATGGATTTCTCTGAGATTGTCGTCCTCCTACACGCTCCATGGATTATTAAAAAACTTGTAGGGAGGAGAGTTGTGCTTTGTACAGGACAGCCTTACGACAGAGCATTTTGCAATGTAAACAACGCCTGCAAGGCTATTTTGAAGATGCATAGTTATCAAACAAAGTATGACTGGACATGGCGACATGGACTGTAATGACGTGGTTATTTTATTATATTATCGTTTTATTATACAGTACTCAACCTCTGTATTTCTATCTTTTAGTCACACGAAACTGTGACAATAACGATTTTTTTTACAAATTAATTACCTCCTCTGTTTTGTTTGAGAATTTCGCGCAAAACAACACAAAAGCTCTATGTGCATAGCCACTTTTAATTTTGATCTGATAAACTAGTTGGAAGGCAGCTGATTACTTTTTACTGATCAAACAGTGGGATTTGATTGTCACTCTGATCGTGCACTCATGGCCTCAAATTGCGGAGCGCATATTTGGAGCAACGGGGCGAGTACTATGATTCTTGGATTTGCAATTAGGGCATTATAATAAAAAGGCTACGCCAAACCCTATTACTTAGCTAATTGCTTAGTTAAAAGTAAAAACATAGTCCTGACTCTTACTTGTTTTTTTGAGAAAAGATGCGTGTAACAAATTTTAAAACAACTTGGTTAGTTGAAAATTTAAATGAGTAGCTGCGAAACAATAAAAACTCTAGCTACGTAACTGAATAATCTTTATTATAACATTCGTGGTTTAAACACAATTCAACTTTTCAGTAACTTGAACACAATTATACAGAAAAAGATAGATTTAAAGGACTGTGTAAAATTTAAATCTTTGCTTATGTATGGTAAAAAAGGCAGGACAAATTCCATCTTTAAATGAGCAAAGAATATAATCAGAATATTGGTTTACAATACTCTGAATAGTTTTATTTTTACATGTTTTTATTTGAGTTATTTAAAAATCTGCAACAAATAAACGCAAGTGAGAAACTCAAACACTTGATATTTATAACCACAAACAACTCATTCAGAGATGGAGAGAGGATATAGATCCAACGGAATTGTGGTCCTTTTTAAAGTAACTTATAAAGTGTACAGACAGAAACGACTGTGAACGTCCGTGATAGTTCTTTTTCTTGGTGGTGGGATCAAATTTCTCTTGACGCTTAGATCACATATGTTCTTGATGTTATATATAACATTTGTCTTTATTGTATACAATGTAGGTTGTATTCTTTTTGAAAGTATATATAACGCTTCTCCTAATAATGCAGTTTACATGTAGGTCACATTTATTCATGATGCTATATATAAAGTTTCTCCTGATCGTTTATAATGTGCATCATATTCTTTTAGAAAATATGTATCACATTTCTGGGGAAAATAGTGAATTAATGAAGATATTTATCAATACAATAATCCAGCAAAGAAAACAAACGAATATTAAGAAGGAAATGAGGTGAGGAAACAGAAGAAACATTAAGTGATTCTTAAAGAAAGCACTAAAGCTAGAGAATGTAAATGGACATAGGTAAATATGGAAAGAAAACTAGAATTAAATAACCAAGGAAGTTAAATTGTGAAGCTTGTTTGTTTGTTTGTTTGATTTTGAATTTCGCGCAAAGCTACACAAGGGCTATCTGCGCTAGCCGTTCCTAATTTAGCAGTGTAAGACTAGAGGGAAGGCAGCTAGTCATTGCCACTCACCGCCAACTTTTGGGCTACTCTTTTACCAACGTATAGTGAGATTGACCGTCACATTATAATACCCCGACGGCTGAAAGGGCGAGCATGTGGGACAGAGATTCGAACCCGCGACCCGCATGTTGCGAGTCGATCTCCATAACCATCTGGCCATGCCGGGCCTAAATTGTGAAGCATCGGACAAGACCTAAACAAAGATATAGTTGTTAATTATCTCAAGGAAATAAATATGTAGTTTTTAGTTTTTCATAAAATCAGTAAACATTGAATAATAAAAATGATTAATGCTACCATACAATAGATGGAATAAGAATAATTCAATTACATTACTATATATAGCAGAAATCGATAATTGTCATTAGGAAAAACCAATCATGTTTCATGTGAAAATGTAGATTCCTAATATAACAAGGTCTCCATAGATTCTTCAGTCATTTAGATGGTTAAAAAGGATTGTTAAAGATACAATAGCTCAGTGTGTGTTTAATTCAGAATTAAAGAACATTAAAACACCATTTCTAGAAACGCTCATACGAACAGACTAACATTTTATTTAGGACAGAGTA